CCTCACCCCAAAAAGGCCATTGAGTGACTCGAGCGTGGCCAGAGAAGGGCAACGGAGCTGGGGCAGGGTCTGGAGCACAGGTCTGCTGGGGAGCGGCTGGGGGAACTGGGGGGGTTCAGTCTGGAGAAGAGGAGGCTGAGGGGAGACCTCCTGGCCCTCTGCAACTCCCTGCCAGGAGGGGGCAGAGAGGGGGGATGAGTCTCTGGAGCCAAGGAGCCAGCGCCAGGCCCCGAGGGAATGGCCTCAAGCTGCCCAGGGCAGGGTCAGGCTGGCTCTGAGGAAGGATTTCTGTGCAGAAGGGGCTGTTGGGCGTTGGAATGGGCTGCCCAGGGCAGGGGGGGAGTCCCCGGGATCCCTGGAGGGGTTGAAGAGTCGGGCTGAGCCAGCGCTGAGGGATCTGGGGGAGTTGGGAACGGTCAGGGGGAGGGTCATGGTGTCACTGGAGGAGCTTCAAGGGCTTTTCCCACCGAGATGCATATAAACCTAAAGACAGTACTTAGGACTACAAGTAGCTCCTGAGTCACCATAGACCAAGAAGACAAAGCTACAAATTTTGTGGTGAAAGGGGAAAAAAGATTTATGCATGGTACGAGGCACAGATGGATAAGGGTAGGAGAGAGGTGCAGGAAAGCAGAAGACAGCACTGAGCCCAAAGTCACGTGTCAGAGTACCCTGTCTGAGGACACTACCAGTGCTTTGTGACTGGAAACACTCAACAGACTTAGGATGGGTTTGTTTGGAGTTGTGCTGCTGCCAAAAATCCTGTAACAATTTGGACAGACGAGTTTCAGTTTCCTCTCTGTAGATACAGGCTGGAAGTTTCTTGCTGCGTTGCCACTTCAGGTCTCCTCTACTGTTTGCTGCAGCCGTCTGCCATCACTCAGCCCTGTGCGACCACTTCAAACGTTTCTGCGAGAAGGAACCCACGTACTTGAGCAGAAATCAAGGCCACAGGACCATGACTCACCATCAGGGGCTCGATAAAGCTGTGTAACACAGGACCGTGAGCAACTGCAGTAAAGCAAAAGCAGAAGCTAGGCGGCAGTGTTGGCACAGGCTCTAGGGCGCAGGCAAGCTACTGCTCCTATTTCACACAGTGAGCTCCAACTGTGGCTCCTCTATTGACAGGAATCAGTTCTGGACCTCCTTTCTCATCAGCTGAAAATGGTTTAGCACCTCTGAAACTTCAGCCTCAGAGGAGGTACTCAGAGTTCATGGCGGAGAGCAAGAGCCAAAAAGACTCAGAGTTCCCAAGGCAAAAAGACCATACCCTTTTCTTTAAGAGTAAAAAGGTGGTTTTCCCCCTCTAAGTCCCATTTCTGCATGTCACTAGATTGTCTGATTCCACAGTGACACACCACCAAAGGAGCTTGTCACTAAGAGGAAGTTGCAGTTGTTGAAATGGCTCTTTACATGCAAGTGAGATCAAAAGAGAGGTGCTGGGCTCTGCCACAGATACTGGAAGAGACGAATGGTTAAAATGAGAAAGAACTTCAAAGACCATGTGTTGCCCCAAGCAGCCTGTAATGAATTTTCTTGTGGTTCACTGACCCTGGTTTGCTTTTAACGGTTCATTTGGCAAGTTGTTGCTGCAGCAATTTCTAATAATAATCTTCCCCTAATAATTACAAGAATCTTTTAACCAGGTACAGCTTTGTGACTATACAGAGCTGCTCTGAAAGTGAATTTTGGACTTGGTAAGACAGAAAAACATCTGCAGGAAGTTCCTTTAGTTCCTCCCCCCATGGCGCACATCACACAGAGAAACAGGAGGACAACAGTCACTCCGAGGAAAAGCAGAAGGAATTTTCTTCCACTCAGATGAGGATTATTTTGAAACTATAACAGCAGCTGAGGGCACAACACTTCCAGCAGACAGGGACAGCATTTACTTCCTTCACACTTTGGGTGTTACTGATCATAGCCAATACGGCAATATATTTCTTCCCAACCTACTAGTTTTGTGGGAGAGTTTTTTCCCAGCCCTCTGTTCCAAATGATATTTTGACTCTATCCTTGTGCTATGCTGATTCAAGTAGAAAAGTTAACAAAATGATTAAAATAATGAAGTGATGAACAGTAATTAGCTATATATATTTTTCATCATGAACCAAAAGCTCAGTGACTGCAATAAAGCCCAAAAGGAAAAAATCTTATCTTTTTTTCATCAGTTGCAGTCATCCTGCTATCACTCCACCTTTCTGTAGAGGCTCTCAAGCACAGGAGAACACACACTGCCTTCTGTGTTGTCATTTTTCAGATGGAGCTGTGGGTGGACAAGACATTCCACAGCAGGTAGGAATGCCTAATGCAAGGAGGAGAAATTTGTAGTGCAGGAAAAGGGAAAGAAACTGAAAAGGAGACTTCCCCTAGGAGATTAAATCCCAGGTCCGTACAAACAACTCACCATGACTAGGGGCAAATAATCCTATCCAAGTCAATAAAAGCAATGCCATTGAAAAAATCATACTCTGCGTAACCTGTATCAGGCTTCAGGTCAGTGGCAGACAGGAGCTTGTACAACTTTGATAGTTTTTCCCAGGGATTTCAGTGGGACTGTTCACATATTAAAGCACACGCTCAACTGCCAGAATCTGGACACACAGCCGGTCAATCCCGTCCGGCTGCAAACGAGCTCCAGACTAAAGTCCTTGCAGGGCTGCTATTTATTAATCAGTATTTGTGCGTCTCTCTGCGGTACTTTCTTACGGTGTATCTTAAGACCCAACCCCTAGCCCTGTGTGCAGGCCCAGGCCCAGGGCTGAGCTCTCCCCGAGCACCGTGTCTCTGCAGGAGGGGCTGGCACCGTCCCCGGCCACCCTGCCCCCAGCAGCGGCCCAGCCCCTGGCAGCCGGCAGAGAGCAGCTGGGCTCTGAGTGCACCAAACCCCTGCAAGCTGGGGGTTTACAGCATTTGTATTCCAAAGGACTCTGGACACATACGGTATGAAATTCACAACCGAATGCACTTGTCCATTATCATCCCATCACTGATTAAAGAAGAAAGTGCATGACTTCACATCAGCCACCTCTGCCCTGGTAATGCTGAGCTCTCCTCTGCACAGAGAGGAGCCCTTTGGGTATTTCACCTCAACAGAACTCAACTAAGCAGTTAACAGTTCAGTCCTTGTTTCCATCTCTGTGCAGACAGACGGCACCTATTAGGAGTTATATGCCAACCTAAAAGGTGGTCAGTTAAACTATTAGCTTTGCTTCAGGCATGCAGCATCCAGCCACAGCCTACACATTTTGTCAACGGCAACCAGGAGGGTTTTGCCTCAGTAGAGAACTGAGAGATTTGGTCTAGTGGTGAAAGTGTCAGCTTCATAATAAACCCCTCCACAACTGCAGGCCTTGATCCAAAGCATGGAGCAGGCAAGGACTTCCAGGAGGTCTGTCAGCACTGCTGTGTTGGGGGCATGTGTCATCCCAACACTCAGATAGCCAAGCTTTTGTGGGGGTGCAAAAGATAGCATGCATCCCATGGAGTTTACAGTCTTATGTAGAACTGCTGCCACTATAAGAACTATCCCCAAGCAGGAGCTGAGGAGAGAAAAGCTGTTAAGAAAGTTGGCTGAGCTCACAAGCCAGCTGACAGACAGCAATAGCCTGAAGTCCTCCTGAGGGCCCCATGCCAGAGCCTCTTTCCAGGCTAGACAGGGGTTTAAAGAGCCTTTAAAAAAACCAGCTAGGATTTACTTTTTACTAAAGCCTTCTGAAACTACTAAAACAGCCACAGCCATTATGGGAATGGTGGGCTACAAATGGATGACAGTGGAAGAGTGTAGAAAGTAACAAAAAAACCCCTGCAGTGTCACAGCAGACTGCTCCAGATTGACAGGTGATGAGTCTGAGGTTTAAAAACTTGAGGCAACAGTTATTTGATGGCTCCCATTGCAACAAACTGAAGGAGCAAAGAAATAAATTTGTTCCCTTGAAATCTAGTCATCTGCCTCTACCTGCAGAAGAGCTTTTTGCACTACGTGTGTCCAGGATACAAAAGCTCGGGATCACACCGTCCAGCTCTCGCAGGAGTGGGCCCAGCAGAGGTGGAGCAGGATAAGCTGATCACAGCTTAGGTCAGTTTTGCTCCTGAACCAGCAGTCTGTAGCAGGAGAGTCGTCCTGCTGGCCCAAGACCAGTATAAACATTTTCCTCAAAACCACTGACACATTTTCCTTTCTCTCAAGAACTTCTGCAGACATTTTTTACAACTGACAGCTCACCTGCACTTCACGGAGTAAGGGGCGAACATCACCTTTTGCACATACTAGTTCTGCACTCCTGTTGAGCAGGCTGCGAATCCTGGGTGGTTACTGCAGCCACTGACATTTCTGTCAGTCCCTGGTCTCTCCAGGTGCTCTCTCAATGACTCTCCCTTTCTCCCTCCAATTGGTCCCCCATTCCCGGCAGGGGGAAGGGTGAGCGACTGCCTGCGTGGGGTTTGGCTGCCGGGCGAGTTCGGAGCACGACAAGGGGCTGAGCAAGCGCAGAGCCCCAGGTTTGCTCTTGGGCCGAACAGGCTGCCCAGGGCTGGTGAAAACATTCCTTCCTAGAGCTTCTGTGTGGCCTGAGCTGATGGTGTGTTGGATGGGTCTGGGACAGCAGCAATCAGGATGGGCAACAGGTCCTGGAACTGGGCAGCAGGAATGCCCTGCGGCTACTGGCGCAAGACCGCCTACAGCAATCTCCATGTCACAGCTCCGGCTATGACACCGGTCGGAGCTTGTAAAGAAAAGTAGCTTTGCCCCTAGTGTGAACCTTCCCCGGGGAGACTGAGCCGGCTTGCGGGGTCGGCGAGGCCCGAAGCACACGGCCATGGCGCTGGGCAGCCGGCCAAGGCCAGCCGGCAAGGAGGGAGGGCTGGGCAAGGGGCTGCCAGGCCCCGGGGGAAGAAACCCTCTGGGCCCGGCCCCTAACGCTGCCCCTGGAGAAAGGGAGAGGAGGAGGAAGCCAAGAAATGAGCGTGGAATCTCCCAGGGCAGAGATCGACAGACAACTTTATTGTGCCATTGGAGGGGGATCAGGACCAGCATGTGGGGACGGCACACGGCTGGTCTCGTGTCTGCGTCCGGGCCGGCTGTAAGGATTCTGGGCCCGACGTTCCAGGCGGGAGCTGTCCCTCCTCCGCACGGGCCCACGGCGGCTGGAGCTGCTGCCCTCGAGCGCTGGAGAGGGGCAGGACTCCGCTGGCAGCTGGCTGGCGGGGCTGGGGCTGCTGCTCTGCGGCACTGGGGAGCCCTGGGATGAGCCCGGTCCTGACGGGCTCCCCGTGCCAGAGCCAGCGAGCTCCGAGCAGTCACTGGAGGCTGTAAGGGGAAGCAGGAAGGTCAGGGGCACAGAGGCCACTGTGGAGAGGCCAGAGCGGTGCCCCCAGCCCTCCTGGGGCAGAGAGGCTCTGCCAAGCCCAGCCTGGGCCCCCGCTGCCAGGCCTTGCCTGGGCCCTGG